AATAAATTGGTATCAGAGCATTCAAGTCCATAACAGTAGACATTTTCCATCAATATGGATAGAAAAAATAAATTAATTAATATTCTGCTTCATACTTATTTGGAACTTGAAGAGGTCAATTTTTACCAAGAGACTCCCATCATGTGAACAATGTTTCTTGAGTTGGGCTCTTCAATCACGGCTTATTGTATTTATTTGTTGATTCTATCAATGATGGTACACTTCTAAGAGTTATTGCTTAATCATTGATTAATAGAACTGGATGTTGCTAACTTTTGGACAAGTTAAAATGAGAGTAGAAGAAGATGAAACTTTAGTTTATTTGACTATTTTTAAAAGGTCAAGTCATATCTCTTAGCACCTACTAAAATGAGCTTAAATAATAATCTCTTAAGCGAGAACTCTATTTATTAATCGGAGCCTATTTGTGGATCAAATTCATCAAAATCCCATAATTAAATCGACCATAAGCCTCATTTATCCTCTATAAATAGAATTTTGGCAACATTTTCTAGTTAAAACATGTTAGAAGTTAATAACGAGATTATATGGCATAATATGAAATAGCAATCACAATACTAGAAGAACACAAAAATAATTGGCAAATAAATTGAGAATTTATTAATATAGAGAAAGATACAAAGATTATTATATATTTACAAAATTGTCTAATTTTCTAATTTATGAAAGATATATAAGACCCAAAAGAATATGTTTTAAATGAAAAGATAATTAAAAACAAACTAGAAATACGGAAACAAAACCTTTCCGAATAAGACTGCAGGTTGGGCGACGGCCTGGCGAGCAGCGAGCAGGGCACGTTGCTTGAGCGGTAGCCTAGCGCCAAGCGAGGGGTAGCCCGGCGCTGCCAATGGTGCTCAAGCACCAAGTTTTGGTCCCAAAATTCATCCTTGTTTAGGCATCCGAGTGCCCAGTTCCTGCTCCAAACTCCTTTTTCAATTGAAATGCAAACCAACGTCAGAATTTGTATCACATATTCAACAAGTCTCCACCTTGACAAAATTTTTACTGCAATTAACAAAGTTTCAAAGATTCTCCACCTAGAGACGAGTTCCACTGCAAAGAACAAACCAATGGCACTTCAACCAAAAAAAAAACTCCAACTAAAAATTCTCCTCATTTTCCACAATGTACAACTAAGACAAACTTAATAACTGAAAGTCAACCGAATTCATGCACTACTCAAAAGAATTATCTCGGATGTCAAAGTTGCTCGAATTATCAAGACGAGCAACAAATTCACAAATAACTCACACATTATCAAACATGGTAGAAAGATACCTTGTAATAGAATCACCATAACAAGTTGCTTCTGTAGGTTTTTTGCTAAACTTAATACTTTCAACCACGCTCATACACCACTAAATTAGCTTCCCGTACCTTTGTGGGGGCCTAATATCTCTCCTGGATATATCTCTAGCAATTAATTACGATGGCACTATTAGTAGTGATTGCAAAGCAACATTATCTAGAACTTCTAAACTTAACTGAGATGTATTTTTCAATATAAACCCTAAACCAAACTCCAAGGCACTATACCAAATTGAATATCTTAATTTTTGCCAACTGGTCTCCAATGATTCTGTATAACCCTACAAGACATATAACTAGGACATTCTCCGTCCCTACAACACAACGCGTGGACTTTACTAACCTTTAAGACTTTACCTTCACCAGGTAGTTATTCCCTTTTGAATCAAGAGTACTCAAGAAGATAAAATTTCTCCCCAAATCTAAAATATGTTTCACCTCATCAAATGTCCTAACTGTCCTATCAAATATCTTCATTCTAACCCTTCCAATACCAGCGTTCTTACAAGATTCATTGTTACCCATTTTTCAACACCTTTTGAAACCATTGGAGATAAGTACGTGGATGCTGATTCAGTTGCATATGCTTTTAGCATTTTTGAAGGTGTTGAGACTAGTCAGGAGCCTTTTTATGAAAGTATTGGGAGTTGATTCTACTATAAGGTATGCTTCGACACTATTTGGTAATTTCTAATTCTTTATGAGTTTTGGAGAACCCGGTATTTGGGTTTATGTATCCATGTTGGATACCGTGGAAGATGACGAGAATTTTTGTGTTGGTTTGAGGAGTTCGAATTTTTCATTGCAATCATATTTATTTCTTCAGGTGGAGAAATCTTGGAGTTTCATTCGTTACATCAAAATTTGTGTCAGGGTGGAAATTGTTGAATTTTTTAAACTCAAATTAGGTTGGATTTTTTGAGAAAATATTGTTTCCTTTATTCCCCGTGATTTTTATCTTGTTTCCATCTTTGTGGTATTTCTAGGGTTTGACATTCACCCTTATAAATATTAGACTCTTTTCACAAGTTTTATATTACTGAAATATAGAATAAGCGTGTAGGTACATTTATTATATTTGTTTTCTCCATATTAATCAATTGAATAAAATACTTCTGTCAATTGATTATTTTGCTTTTTATCTTGATTGTCTCTATCCGTTTTATTTCCCAAACATGCATAAGCAAGAAGAATGTAGAAAATTTAATGGCCGTTTTCAAATTTACCCGAATAATGCTACACGTACCGGAATTTAATCACAGAAGACTCACAGAATTTCAAAAAAATATGACGCGGCACTGCAACGTTCAGTATTTCCTGCCACCAACCGTACCCTTTTACCCATCCACCCCCCAACCACAGCTCCCTTTTTCCTTACTTATTATCTCAATTTTCGACGTTATCACGGGATGTCAAACGAAATCAAAATCTCGTATTCTTAACACTATTTCGAAGTACTCA